GCTCCAGAGCGCTATTCTCATATAAGTGTTCAAGTGGTCAAGTGCAAAGACCGCAAGTGTGGGCATTTGGACAAGGCAAGTGTGGATTTAGTGTGCGTTAAGGGCACTGCGCTCTGGCGTTTTTAAGACCTGGGACAGTCTTGCGCACTTATTTGCTGTCGCATGCACGCGCTCTCAAGTGGCCAAGACTGCAAGTGTGGGTATTTGAACAAGGGGACTGAGTTTTCCGGTTCAGAACAGCTGAACTGAGTTAGTTCATTCGACTCTGAGTAGGTTGACTCTGAGTTAAGCGTGTGCACCATGTCTATGAAAAGCCACGATCAATGGCGCAACAGCGCCTCGACACATCCTGACAGAAACTCCAGCGATGGTCTATCCACAATGCCAGAACTTCCTAGAGGTTCAGGCGGTCACCATATCTCTTTCGTTGCTCATCATGTGGTTCATGGAGATGTGTGTTCGCGGATACCTGGCCGTCAGGTGAGATGTGTGTGTGTGTGTGTGTGTGTGTGTGTGTGTGTGTGTGAGTGTGAGTGTGAGTGAGTGTGTCCGTGTGTGTGTTTTAGAAACTGAGAGACTGAATGAATCTCTGTTATGCCGCAGGCAGTATATGGATGCTGTGGTTGCCTTGGTAACGCTGATGCTGGATACAGGATTGCCCTGCTTCCGCGGTCAGACCATCAAACTGCTCAAGTGAGTTCACAACAACTAACAGTGGAGCAGAAGGGAAATGAGATTTATATTTGATTCATACTGGAAGACATATTTGATTTATATTGAAAAAAATTAATGTTTAGAAAAATCAAGCTAAAAAAAAATAGAGGATTTGAATGAGATTAATTATTACTGACTTTTTGAAATATTAAACACAAATCATGAAACATGGAAAATTAGTGAGTTTTTACAGAATTATTACAGACTTATTAAGAAAGCATCATAACAGATGGCAAGAAAATCTCCAGAAACACCCACATTAATGAGATATTTATTTAATGGAGACGAATGAGATTTATGGTTTTCCTTGATTGTAAATTGATTATTAGGCAATTGAATATTAGGCATTTTTTTAAGTTTGCTCTTGAAAAATATTAGAAATTTTATCAAATATCAAATCGACATTTTATATAACTGTTATTGTTATTTTTGTTTTTTTTTTATTATTTTTTTATTTATTTATTTATATAGTTTGCTTGTTTGTTTGTAGAGATATTGTTAAATTATTGTATGCAATTCATTAAAATATTATTATGATTATTTAAAATGTATTACTTGAGTTTAATTAATTAATTAATTAATGGATAGCTTGTAGTTTGTTGATATGAAGTGAATCATGTGTGTTGTATAGGCAGCGTTTTAACCCTGGAGTGAGTGAGAAGGAAGCAGCAGCTTTTATCATCAAAGTCATTCAGAACTGCTTCCTGAGCAGCAGGTCAGTGTCTCTCACACACATTAATGCATGTCATTTCCCCGACATGTTTCAGTAGAAAAAACTTCTTGTAATATAAATAAGATGGCATGAAATGTTTTTCATTTGTTCCAGGAGCAAAACGTATGACATGATCCAGTACTATCAGAACCAGATCCCCTACTGAAGGCCAGAGAAACCTGAGTGTGTGTATGTGTGTGTGTGTTTCTCTTACTGTCTCTTAATGCTAAATTGCACTGCTGTCTCGGTCTGGTGTGTTTGTGCACTTTATACACCTGAAATGTGTTTGCATGAATTTATTCGCACTGATATCAGCACTTACAAGACGTTTTCTGCACGTCACACTGTCTGCTGCATGATGGGCTTTGCAGTATGTGACTGTTTATTGATCAGTTGATCATACAGTGTGACTAATCTTTGTTTGCTCATTTATACGGATCGATTTTCTACCTCTCTTTCTGTTCTAATCTGTTAGTTTGGATTATTTATTCTGTGTGTGTGATATTTAATAAATGCCCACAGTAGTCGCCTGTACACTTTTGTAATCTGGCATTTTGTGCATTTAATGTAAAAACGAGTGAGTCTTCAATTTCAGTGCATTCAATATCAAACTCATTTGAGCTCCACAATCGCTTCCTTTAATCAGTCTGTCCCAGCGGGCACCTTGATGTTGAAAAAACAAACATTGACATCAAACATTGACGTCAAAAATGCAAATCAAACCTCTTCACATCCACACACTGATGGAAAAAATGCAATGCTATGAAAGAAAAGTTCTATTCAGCAAATTTGAAATCAATAATACAGATGTAAATTCAAAATGAAATGCACCTATTCTGATTGTGAACAAAGATCAATATAGTCCAGATCTCAATCTGAATTTGATTTTCCGTGCAGCGCTACTCAGAATTCGCCAAATTCTGTAACATTCTGCATTATACAGCGAATCGTGGTTTTATGCCTGGATTACAAAGGACGTGTGTGTGGATGTGAAATGGACATCAAGTTTCTGACGTCAGTCTGATTTGGATATTTGACCTGTGTTTTGACGTCAGTGTTTGAAGTCAATTCGATGTCCTCTCAACATCAAGTTCCCACTGGGATGGTGGTCGACTGGACATCAATGTGTGGATGTCAAATGAACATCAAGTTTCTGACGTCAGTCTGATTTGGATAATTGACCTGTGTTTTGACGTCAGTGTTTGAAGTCAATATTTCAGGTCTTTTGAACCTCATTTGCCCACTGGGACACGTTTCAAAGGGAGATGTGGCAAATGCATGCTGTTCGAGGCCCAGTTAAGAAAAAATGCATAAACTTAATCAGGCTGACAAAGAATTCATATTATGCAATAAATATCAATCAAACACACAAATCACTGATTTCAATGTGATATGACATCCATTTGACGTCTAAACCATGGCATTGATTTGATGTAAACAATGTCAAACATATTGACCTGTATATACATTAAACCGATTTTAGCGTGAGTATTAACTTCATATTTTCACCCGGTTACCACTGGAAGAAACTGCTGTCCAAACTGACCTTAAAATGATGTTACACGGCATCTTGATCAAGATCATTTGACGTCAAATTAATATCAAGGTGCCCGCTGGGAGGGTTTAACAGAAGAACAGGGAAGGTAAGATACAGAGCGTTAACACAGACCTATTCAAATGATATCAAAATGTGCAGCTGATTTATGACTCGTTGTATTTTTCCATTTCATCTGGACTGTTCGCTTCATTATTTCCCCCATTATTTTAGATGAAGTGCTTTGAGCACCAGCTGAAAACAATTCAACTTAACATTTAATGACCACCTGGATAATAAATGAGAAAATTCAGACATTAAGAATGGATTCCAGTGATTAAAACAACAGATAATCTGCTGAGCACTGAATGCGCTGAACTCCAAACTTTAAAGAGTCTCGGATTTTAAGATCTGTTCACATATAGCTTTGTCATCATCGGTGTATCGTGAAAATTCCTCTCACAGACCAGCAAAATGATATTTATTTAAATGAATGAATATTCATCTAATTACTTATATATGAGATTTGTGTGGTTATCCTAAATGTAAGTGCAAATGTTTGGGTAAATGACCATTCATGTGTGCAAACGTTTTCACACACAGTTAGTCAAAAGATAATCTTTTATGATTGGGTTATACAACTTTGGCTTTGTTTGCTGTTGTTTTATGTACTGTAGATTTGTGTTCTGGACTCTTGTTGTTTAAGGGCGTACCAAAGCAGCTTCATCAGTTCATGACCTTCGCCGCAAAATAACTGAACACAAAGCATAGACAGTAATTAATGAAAAGAGAGAGAAATCAGAGAGGGAGAGAAGAAGGTGTTTCATCACTTACAAAGCAGTGTTATTAGTTGATGATGGCCATCGACCCAAAAGAGCCCTTAAACATGCTACTAATTGAACAAAAAGCTTTAGACAGGAATGAAGAGAAAGAGGAGGAGAGAGAAGAGAAGAAGAGGACCGATGCCGATTCTCTCAGTAGATGCTGCAGCTCTCTGGAGAAGAAACACCTCCCGTTAGTGAACTAAAACTGAAGATCCATCGCCTGGAAGATCATCCAGCTTCACGGTGAGTGACGGATCTGATCACATCTGAGAGCACATGCATTCATTTGTACATGAAATATATGAAACAATTGTATTCATTTGTTAAAGGCGAGATTTTCAATTGTGTATAAAGGTTTTGTCTTAAGTAAATGTTTTATTATTTTATCTTTTGCATGAAATGCAGTAGTGGAAGTGATGCTGCTTATGAAAAAACACTAGGTGATAAGCCTTCAACCTTTACCTTTTTCAGTTAATGTGTAAAATCATCTATAAATATTATGGAATTGTGTATCAGGGTAATTACAGTTGACTAAAAACAAACAAAAATAGAAAAAAATGTTGTCACTTGAAATAAAATACACTTTAACTGAAACAAAATAAAATAAAAAATGTTATTATATATATATATATATAT